CATAGTTTCTCTCGTGATCTAATTAATTTCCCGAAATTTAGATTTCACAAAGATGCTGAAACTTCCACATGCATGGCAAACATCGATAGGTTTGAAATAGTCTGCTTCTGTAAGCTTCCACACTTTTACAACCAAATGTGATGTACATGAAGAGATTGGTTATCACGATTCATTTCATGTGTCATAATACAAGTGGTTAAATATTAAAAAAAAAATTGCTTATATTATGATACTTGATATATCGGACTGATTCACAAGAAAAATTTCTCAATGCCATGCATCTCTCCTCTCCTCCAAGTTCCAATAATTTTTTTTGTATATTCGGAACATCATCAAGTCCACCTGTATAATAACATTTCGAATGGTAATACCAATTAATTTCAAGTAAATATCTATTCCCAAGCCACCCAACGTTATGTGGTGTTACTTGTATCAATTTATCCATGGTACGCTAAATGTATATATATTTTTATCGAATCCTATACAATACCTTCATAAAATATATAATTTTTTGACAAGACGATTTTTTTTATATAACGATATTATTTATATTAAATAAGTTATATAATTTATCCATGAGTATTGTTTTTTTCATGACATACAGTGAGTCTGAAGTTGAAAAATTATGCAATGTTGAAACAATCATGTATAAATAAGTGTATCATTCTCATTCATTACTCCATCATTCACGGAATAAATAAAAGATATCGATAAAAATACATACATATATTTAATACAATCATCATCTCGATCAGATAATAATTGTATATACATAATCATTGTAGCCATCCTAAAATAAATACATGCTAAAGGCTTTTGTAAACTAGTTCTTGAAGGCCCAATGTTTCTTATGGACCACAACCATTTTAGCCCACAATTAATATAATTATGTTGAACCGGTTCATCTTTGTGGATTTGCTCAAATTCCCCACCTCTTATTCTTTTCCCCTACAAAACACCACCACAACCCTTTCCCCGATTTCGTATTCACTCTTATCCATCTTGGATTTTGACTCAGATCGAAGAGAAGAATGGAGCTGATCACCAAAACTCCATCATCCCTTCGCCCAACATATATCTCCGATCGCCATTGTTATCATCATCTTCGCAGTTGTTGACATGCCGCCGCCGCCGCAACAACCGATCTGCAACAACCTCCCAACGCTACCCGATCTCCTCCTGACGGCGATCTCCATCTCCTTCCTCTTCTCCTCCTCCGCCCGAGCTACCCTCCTCTCCAAAACCCCATTTTCCCATTTACCTTCCTGCCCTCGCCGCCTTTTCAAAATCCCCACCATGTCTCTCCACCACCACCCCCAGCAGCACCGCTTTGCAACCCCGCAGTCCCTCTCCGAGTGGCTCAAGCCCCGATTGCTCTCCGACTCTCTCGCCTCTTGGGGGGTCAAGCCTGGCACCAAGAACGTCCACAACCTCTGGCTCGAGCTCTCCGAAGGCGAAAGCTTTTTAGCCGATTCATCCCCGCCGGTTCGAACGGTTCACGTTGTCACGGTCCGGATCATCGACGATAAATCCCGGATTTTGATCGAAGCCCACCAAGAATTATCGGATGGCAGCGTCAGGAGCCGAGGCCGGCCACTGTCAGAGAAAATGAAACCCGGAGAGGACCACGAATCGGCGGCGAACAGGGCGGTTATGGAAGAGCTCGGTTCGATATTGAATTCGGCAAGCAACGGCATTGTGAAGATTGTTCCGGGTTCTTATGAGAAAAGGGTGGAGGAGCGGCATTCAATGTCGTATCCGGGCTTGCCGGCGTGTTACGTGCTGCACGCGGTGGATGCTTGGGTGGAGGGCTTGCCGGAAGGTGAGTTTTGCACCGAGGAGGAGCAGGAGTATCCGAATGGCGGAGCGATGAGCATTGCCCACGAGGCTGTGTCTGTCAAGAAGCATTTTTGGAAATGGGTTAGTCTTGATTCCATAAATTAATCACTTCACAATGTAGTTCAATAAATTGTTGGATTTGTTGAACTGTTTAGATTATGATATACTACTTATAAAGATACTTGACATTAAAGCAATCCTGTAAGAAAATGTCGTTTTGAGAATTTTGGCTATTGTTTATGAGAGGACATATTGATTCGATTTTCGGTTGAATGTGTGTATTACTTTTACTTTGAATCATCGTAATACTGGTTGTGTAATTTTTGCTTTACCGTACTTCGCTTGCAGCTTTTACGGTGCACTGATTTTTGACTTGAATGCTTTATCGAACTCGTTTGTCTCTTTTGGGAGCTGTTATTTGTTCAGGAAGGACTTGAGAACGTATAGGCCTTATGATCCAATTGCGAATTAAATTGCTAACCGAAAAATGCAGCTTGATTGACCAGTTAGTCCCACACAGTGCTTGATAATCTACGAACAAATGCTTGACCACGGGGTGCTGGGTTACTTGTGTTCAAGTGAATGAGAACAGATTTTTGGTTAAAATTACCATATAGCATTAGCTTAGGCAATGTTTAACAGTTTCTGATCGGCGTCTGGGAATGTTGTCAAATTCTGGTGCAAGTAAAGCTTCACAGAATAGTAGCAGGCTACTAGTTGATATAGAAAGACAGTTATAAGTAGTCTAGTAATTTCCTTCAGAAGATGCGATTATGAGAGAGAGGCTCGAGTAAAAAAGGTAGAGGAAAGACTTAGGAAGACTTAGAAAGAGACTCTAAGAAAAGACATGGAGTACTTGGAGCTAACAGAACACTTGACGCAAAAACGAGTGTAGTGGCGTTCTAGGATTCATACAGCTGACACCACTTAATGGATAAGGTTTTGTTGTTGTTGATGTTGTTTCACTATCTTTATAAGAAATTGCACAACAAATCACTCTGCTTGCACTGCGTTCTCTTGTTGACTATAACATATGCACTCAAAGGTCTTGAATATCCTAATTTAGTGCTTGGTTATGTCTAGGTCTTTGATTCCTTCGTGTTTCTTACATCAAGATTTCAAATGGATTTTTGTGTTCTTCCATTCTAGTTCATGCTCACCCTTGAATCTGGATCAGCTTTTTGGAAATTTTGGTGTAGACTTTGATTCGTTGTTGCTACTCAAAAGATTGATCGCCTTGTTCATTAAGTTGTTCGCCAACTAACAACTGCTGCAGTATTTCTCTGTAGAATGTAGACACTTATCATCTCAATTATTTGTGTTTCATCTTAGACCTTTAAGCATCGGGGAATTAAAGTCGCTTCTCGCGTAGATTTCTCCTGTAAGATTGATGTAAAACTTCTTCAAGTTCTTGAACTGTCCATAGAAATTACCGGATGGATGTTGAAACGCAATTATAGAAGCGTCGTTGTTGTGAAGTTTGTGTGGTTTTCTTATTAGGTTGGTTGGAGACGCAAGCTTTCTTTCGTATCGTTAAAAAGTAGGTTTACTTTTGATATTTGTGGGACTAGATGTTTTTTGGCCACAATTATTTCTTCTTTTGCTTTTGAGGACGCACTGAAAGATGATGTATGTCAAGTCAACATCTTAAATTTGAAGTATTGAAGCGTTTGTGTATTATTGCAAGATCTGCCAAGATGGCCGTTCTTTGGTGCTCTCTAGTATTTTAATGTTGGGATGTCCCAATGTTAATACAAGTTTATATATATATATATATATATATATATATATATATATATATAAAAGAACAGGGCGCAAAGTGTGCAAAAATAAAAATAAAAATCAGTTTATTCATTGAGGGATTTCGTCGAACATTTGGTGAGTTTGTTGTCAGCCATCCTATGTGCGCATATCTCAACAAATATCGGCATATGTCGAAATAATTTGATGAGTGATAAAGGAAGAATTTGTCGAGTGATGTTGACGCAATCTGTTGAGAGATGCTTAACATTTATTACATTAAACAATTAGTAGGCATAAAAAGGTCTTATACCGAACATACAAAAGGTCTTTAGAAGACTCTCGCATGCATATTTAATTTGTTGGCATGTTCACAAATTCACGTTGGACAACCTTGCGTGATGGCCACCAGCCAGCTCGCAACTATCTCGCAAGATTTGTCCCGCGCTGGAATTTTCGGCCGCTGTTTAAGTGGAGTCTCGGGTCCTTGGATGAAGAAGGGTATTATAGTGGTATTCACACGCTTATTTTTATCTTTCATGCACTTTTGTTAATTTTTTATCATTGATCTTTTTTAATTCGTTCAATCCGACGATCTAAAATTAAAAAGTATGTAAAAAGTAAAAATGAGTATGAGGAGGACGAAACTAAAAAGGTTAACCTAAAGTCATGAACTGGAGGCTTACCACAAAGCTGTAAAGGCAAACCATATTTGGTCATATTTTATCCCAGAATTAGGTGGTTGTTTCAAAGTGGTCAATTGGTTGACAAATAGCAAATTTGCAGTTTAAAAACATTTTGATATCTTAAAGCAGAAGGTTAAAGTTCATTTTGTTTACTTGCAAGAACAAAGAGTTCTCTCTTTTTTGAAAGAATAAAAATGAATAACGGAATTAGCACATTCTGATGTATATTCAATTGACAAATTCATTTCCATTCTTAGGTTGATAGAATTATGCTCAAAGATTATGTTGGGACTTTTGCTTCCATGCATTACAAATTACAAGTCCACATGAATATTAAAGGTGAAGGGTTGAAGTGTAAATTTGGAGATTCCTTAACGAAGAAAACAATGGATATTTTCCCTCTTTTTTTTTTTTCTTTTTCTTTCTTGTTGGCATCGCACCTATCATTACTCTTTTATGTTCTTTTTCCCCTCAATCTCTTTCCTTTCTCCTGCCTGCAGAACTACCACCAAACTAGAAAAATCAAAACCAAAACCCACCATGAAAAATAATCTATGAGAAGATGATCTCCATTTCTAATCAGTTTAGAGCATTCAGACGTTTCCAGATCCTCGCAAGGCGGAGAGCCTTGTTGGCCTTGGATTCGCCTTTTATCGTTACTGTTGAGGTCCCGTGTTTGAATTCTTTCTCACTCAGTATCGCTTGTATCGTAAAGAAACCAAAAAGAAGATAAGATCGACGATACAATTAAGCAAGCCTTTCATTCTCACTCATATATGATCATTACTTCCAGTCCTAGATATATATATCAATCATATGATTAATTGATACAAATTTACAAAAACTTAGGCGCAGAACTAAACATCAACAAACATGACCAAGCAAATATTCAAGAACCAATCAAGAAACATACATGTTAGTAGTACGATCGAAGTAGTCTTGGTGGTTTAGGGAAGAACTCCACTCTATGCTACTGAGGCGTTATCCAGGTCCTGATGTGGGTAAGTTTCTCTTGTAATTCAGACGTTGGTAGAGCATTGAGTCCCTTGCCTTGCAGTGAGAGGACCAGTTGGAACATAAGGACCAAAAGCCATAACAGCAAGACAATCCACGGTAACCCGATATTTCCCGGAAACCCAAGTTCCAACCTTCCATCGAATTCGTCCTATCACTTTGAGATTCAAAACCAGTCTACCAGCCGTTTGATCACGTCCCACTTCATAGCCAAACGAGGGATCCACCGGCAGACCTATTCCCACCAGAGAAGCTGTCAAGACATTGGTGTCTTCATGTCCTTGGTAAAACGGAGGAAGAGAAGTGTAAAGAGTGATTTGCTGGCCCTTGTATACAGCGTAGACTTTAAGCTCGTCATAGTAAATCCCGACTTTCTGATTAGGGTTTTTCGAAAGGAGGGTGAGTTGGACGGACGAGTTGAGGAGGTGACCGCCGGAGAGGTTCAGCTGGTAGATATCGGCTTCTTTGAGGGAGAACTCGGGTTTCGTGGGGCGAAGGATGAGCCAGACGAGTAGTATTATGGAGAGAATTGTGGTGGCAAATGTAGAGAATAGTAAGAAAAGCTTCCTGTAGAGCTTGCTAATGTTAAGTCCTTGTTTGTTGCCACAGTGTTTAGGAGATTTTGTGAGGGCTTCAGACATTTGCAGCTACAAATGTTTAGAGAGAGAAAGAAAGAGTTAGACAGAGGAGGTTTACAGGGTTAAGCAAGAGGAGGGAGGTCATGGGGTTAATAAAGGGTGCAAAAAGCAGCAATAATTTGCTCTCTCTTGGACTTTTGACTGGCAGCTTCCTCATATTGCGGTGGGAAGTGGCTGTAAGTTATATAGTTGTAAACTTGTAGAATGCGCTTCTAATTTAAAAGGGTAAATGATATTGTACGGCTGTTAATTTAAGTATGTTATGTGACATTAGATTAATCGTTAAAAACATATAGCATGTTCAGATATCCAAGGACGAGAAAATATTACATTTTTAGGTAAAATCATGCACATATTTTAACCGTTGGATCATTGTACACCTGTTGATCGACGTTGGATGGTTGATCATGCTTCATGATTGATGAGCCTTGCTGTGGATCGATGTAGCACATCAGATAGGGTTGTTGTGGGATGATTCACGAATTGGCCATGTCAGGGGTGGGACGAGCTTAGCCTTTTCCTAAAAGCAAACTGGATTATATTCGTCTGTTTACTAACTTGCAAATGCAAAAGTTCGCATGAAGGAATATTAGTAGTGCTGCGTGAAAACGACATGAAAATATAGGAAGTTGTGCTGGTTCAAGTAAAACCCCTTTGCGGCCTAAGAGTCCAAAACAACTTAAGAGTGAGGTTTAGGGTACAACTCAAGAGTAAGGGTTAGGGTGGCAAAGTTGTTAGTTAGGAAAATAGAGTAATCAAATCAATTGTTCATCCATCATCTGTTTTGATTAATTCATGAATATTCTAGGTTGTTCATATTATTGTCACTATTAGTCACATCTCGACCCGGGCTCAACCATATCCCGTGGTCAACTCCGCCGTAGCACGATTTGTTCGTTTTGGGTCCCGACCACGCCCTCACGATTTTGTTTATGTGAGTGAGAACTTCCCAATGGGTCACCCATCCTAGGAATGGTCTGACCCCTTTCTCGCTTAACTTCGGAGTTCCTACGAAAACTGAAGCCAATGAGCTTCCAAAAAGCCTAGTGTTATATGGAGGTGAGCATGTACATATAAGGTATAAAGAATCCACTTCCCCGGACAATGTGGGATGTTACACTATTCCCACACATAACATAGATGTGCAAATGAGGGTTAGGTGAGTTGACTTACACGGATGTCGCCTTCTTGCATCCGAGTTTGATTTATAAATCCCGGTAAATTAAATAATTTTAAGTTATTACCTTGACAAGAAAAAAAAATATGTGGGGAACAGACATCATTGAGTTGGTTTCAAGATATGCGTGATGATTCATGAATATACATGTGTGCCATGCAACAAAGTTTGAAAAGTTGAATTTATGGACGCTACTCATATCTGATTATGCTTTACCACCAAATATAATGTAAAATATACATATAGGGTACCGTGATGAGGACGATCAAAATTCAAAAGCAGATAGATGATATTGAGGATATCTCTGTGCGTAGATCTATCTTAACCAGAATCAGAGATTGGGAAGCACTTTTGGAGTAATTGAGAGGAAAGTGAAGGCTTTTAAAGAGCAATAAGAGATAGCATAGCCAATAGGAGCTATAGCCTGTCTCATCGATTGAGCGTGAGAGAAGAAAATGGTGCAATATCGCCAAGTGGCCTGCCCTTCTCTTAAGCTTTGTCCTCCCTTGTTTCAGTCAATGGAAGATTAATCATTAGAACTTTGAGATTAGGGTATTAAGAGATGACTGATTGACGGTGCAGATCTTGCTAAATTAGGGTCTAAAGTCTGAACACAATGAGAGAGAGGGAGTTTTCAAATTTATTTATCAGAAAGAGTTCAAAAGCAGAGAAGACATGGAGAATCTGTAAACAGGCTTCTTGGAAACCACAGGGAGACATCACCAATCATTCATTTTTTTGGATTTTTATGTCTTTATGCAGCTGTTGCTTTTGAGTTAAGGAAATACTAAAAGGCTGTTAGTTGATGAGCCTCAATATCGTTTTTTATTCGAGAGATATTCTAGTTTATTCTAAATAACAAGAAAATGATTCGTTTGATACAAAAGAAGACATTATTCTAATTAACTTAGCTACGTCTGAGTTTTGTAATGTGAATACTTAGAAAACTACGTATCTTAGACAGAAAATATCACTGATTTACTTTGCATTATGGTTTGGTCTATTGTTAGGAGGGACCCTTCTGTTAAGAATCTGGAAGAGAATATTATAGATGACTTACAGTTGCTGCTCGTTTGAAAGCTGAGAGGTGTGTTGGTTTTTGCTTTTTTGAAACTTTTCATTTGAGTGATTTCTCATCTACTCATCTATTTAGTCTTCTTTTGTATATAAATTTTTGCTTCTTTCGCCATCTGGGTCCAAAAAAGGAAGTTCGAAGTTCCTTTATGACTTTGATTTTAAAAAGAGCCAAAAAAAAAGACCTAGGGTTTTTTCATTTCACTGATTGTTTAGAGATAAGCATGTTCTTCTGGGGGCATATGATAGTAGCCCTTTTGTTCCACCACCATCACATATTCAGCCAATCCAGGCTAACAGTGTGTGTTGAGTCATTGATCAACTGAGGAGGAAGAGAAACTTCAGTAGGTGCGCGGCATAGTCGGGCATGTAGGGCAATTAAAAAGTTGCCACAACGATACAAGTAGGGCCTGATGCGGGGTGGGGTTTGGGGGCCTTGAGAGAAAGTGAAAGACCCTATTTTCCCTAAAGTTTACTTGCACCTGAGATATCTTGCCACTGTAGTGAAATTCCAAACTCTTAAAACACTTAAATATATATATAGGAAACTTAAAAGTTAAAACACAGGATACCATCACAATGATATGCCGAGTGTTTCGTTTGTTCAGCTGGGCCCAGAATGATGGCATTGGGAAGATGACCATATGACGTACCTGCAAATTGGTGGTGGTAAAGACTGATGTTGTTGTTCATATGCATTTGTATCTTTCTATCCCAACATCTGCAAGGATATCCCATGCATTATTTCAACTAATTCACTGCACAATTTAAGCACGGCATGCATTACTTAGTGATGTTATATTTATTAATAAAGCCAAATTTAGTACTAGAAAGAGATGGATTGGAGCGTGCCTTCGAGTTGAGTTGCCTATAAACAGAGACTTGTTTACAAGTTGGCAAAATTACCAACCACAATTAGTGGGGAAAGAAAGAAGGCAACGATCAATTTGTGGACACCGACGACGACTTTGACAAGTCCTTTTGGTTTTGGAAAGCATGCACGTAATTGTAGGCTGTATCCAACGACGACGTATCTATCTATATCAGTAGGCTGTTTTGGTGGTAGAAAATGATATTTATGAATTCAAGTTGCAGAGTGGAGCACTCACTTTTTGTTCACCATCAGAATTTAAACGTACAAAAACAACTAATGATTATTTGTTTATGGAAATGAGCACCTATAAAAATTAGCCGACACTACGGAATTGAGCACTCAAACTGTGTCGCTGTTTGAAAACGCCACCACCTTTGAAGTTATTGAAATTTTGCGAATGAAGTTGAGGTTCAACTCTAAAATTAATTGCCTATAAGCTTTTGCAAGATTTTATAACGTTTCGAAGTGGGATTATTCTTCACATCCTCACAATTTTTTGGCAACATTTCAAGCCTTACACATGGATGGACATGCACAGACGTTGTGAAAGAAGTTCATGTTTCACCAAAAAACTAATCAGTAATAGGAAAGTGACTCAACTCCTTATAAGTGCTTACAAAGTTTTTTTTACTTTCCAACGTGGATAATTATTTCCTCACACTCGGAAGGAGCACTCGATGTTAAACTGTGGTTAATATACAACTTATACCTTGTGGATTCCCTCAAATTATTTAGTTAGTGATAATAACACAAGCATAAATGATCAAATGAAGCTTGTATACCAAATGAGATTTGAAATCTTGAATGAACAAACCTATGCGATAACAAACATATATAGTATGACTAAAACATCCCTAGGAACAAAAATATACAACCCTATTTTACAAATTGGTCAAATGAGTTAATACAATATATACTAAGAAGATGAACGTAGAAGTGATGTCAGAAGCTTCTTCAGGTCCGTACTACTCTCCTCATCTGTGTTTCTGGGCATCAAAAACTGAAACAATGGTGTAACAAAGCTATATACTACTTATAGTGCCATCTTAACTTGAAGTACAAGAAACTCCAAGTAGTTAAGCCTAAAATATATTGCCATCAGTTTCTGCAGGTGAAGGATCAGTACTCGCTTGACGGACAAACTGCCCTTTTATTCTGGGACGCTGCTCTGCGAGTTTCTTTCTGCTCTCGTAGCGAACCTGCAGAATGGACCATATCGTGTTAAAATGCGAGTTTCTTTGGGGACTAGGGTGGGAGAGGCAGTAGTAGTAAAAATTAGAGCAATGGTAGAAAGGATGACAAAGATAATGAAGTACCTTCTTGTCGTAGCATCTATCTTTGCGCTTCAAGCGGAACTTGTTTAGAGCTGCTTCTCTTTGGATGGATCGATAAGAATTTCCGTTTTGATTAAAGAAACTGTCTTCATTCTTGCTCTCTGGCGCAGCCCTAAACATAGCCACCTGATCGACATTGTTGCTTCCACAAGCACTTCCGTACCCCATGCTACTAAGATGACCAGTATTGCCATTACAGAAACTACTACTCGCACTCTGATCGGTTGCTGAGGACATATGCCCTCGATCCTCATCAAATCTTTGATCCTGATTCTGCATTGTTTGGTCCACGGTACCTTTGGTATTTTGATAAAGTGTGCCGTAAACTTGCTCAGTTTTATCTTTCTGAAGATTTGCGGGATAAAAGGTATTCATTAGGAACGAGGGTTCCTGCTGGGCAGCTGAACTAGGCATTGGCGATGGACTTGATTGTGTACCAAACATTGGAGGTAGCACAGTACCATACCCATTGCTTAGATTGTTAAACCTTATGCCTTTCACGGGAACTGGATGAGGAAATAATCTCTGCTCAGGGAGTGACGTTCCAATTTCAGATTGGTTAGACTGACCAGTAGCCAGAGTGATAATACTCCTGGGAGTACTTAAAGTTGTAGGAGAAGTATCACAATCAGCGTTGGTATTAGATGTTTGCATCTCGCATGTAGCTTCATATGCCTTT